ACTAAGAATATTTTTCTGTTATCTGCCCGCGAATAGATCAAGCAATAATGTCGATAATTCTGTCAATACAGATTTCGAGCTTGAGAGTTACAAGCAAACAAACATAGAGGTAAAGCTAATATGAAGCGTGTAAAAAAAACAAAATTTTCCTTTCATCGATAGACAATAAACTGACAGTTCATAGGAACACTGTAGTTAGCTTTCCGTCATGTCAAAGGAAAGGAATTAATTCATCATGCACCGACTCAAAAATTGAACTATTCACTACTATAGCAAAATACTCCAAAAGTTACTGAATTATCTGTTAACTACAAATCTGAATGTAAAAATATCTTATCACCGCCTTATCATAATTGAAATAATTTAAATAAATATGAGAAAACTGCATAATATATCTTCGTTCAAGTACTAATATTGGAATACTTTCGATTGATAAAGGGAATGTCACAGTGATAATGTAGATTATGAAAATAAATTAGCTCAGTGTATTTCGAATACAACATTCCAAACACATACTATAAAAAAATCAAGAACGACCGAAGGAAAAAATAAAAACGTTCAAGGTCGGAGATAACCGTGTCACAGCTATTTTCAGGGTATGTTGTTTGCTGTCTGACGTTTCGTCTATGACGGCGGTGTACAATATCATATGTGATGAGGCAATAACAGTGTTCTGGATATCCTCCGAGTAGATACTAGATAATTAGTTTGGGCGGAGACCCAAACTAATTATTTAGTCCCAAACTAATGGAATGAATTCGTTCACCACCAGTGGGGTAAATTCTCCGAATTTCTTCCATTGCTGCTGGACGAGGTATCGTTCCTATACAGTGTGTAAAAGCCAAACGGAATAAAATAATTATTTCGGTTACGGTAAATATTTTAACGAAATTCCGAAACACATGTATATTATAATTTGACATTTTTCAACGTAAAAATGCCACCCCTACCTTCAACCCCCTTCGAATGAGAGGTACAGTGTCATCCCCAAAGTATGCACCATATGGGAAACTTATTTATTAAGGGTTTTTCGACAAAAAGTTATTCTTGATAAAAGTTTGTGCATCTCCTAAAACTAAACATGCACCAGTAAAATGCAGTACAACACACGTAATATAGGAGGAGCCTTCAAATATTTGATTTTGTGTTAAGAGTAAAGTACTCTCATTTTGAAAAATCTCGGGAAATGTTTATTACTGGAGTTTTTCCCAACACCAAATCGTTATTTTTAACACCTCGACACGTGGAAGATTAAAACTAGAAACTAATGGGAAACTGACCCTATTTATGCTATATAGGTATCCCATACAGGTAAACCATCCAGGTGTAACACCCATACAGGTATATCAACCTAAATTAATTTCACAAATTTGTCTTATCTATTATTTTACAATATATGTTTATATAAAACAATTTTCAGCTATACAAAAATTAATTTCACAATATTGCCTATCCAAATTTATTTTTGTAATGTGTCCTCATGTAGTAATTTTTTATACTAAAACTTGGTTCCGCAATAGACAAGGTTTCAAATTCCTTAGTGAGCCACTTTGCTATTTGGTAGGTAGGAGCTCCAATAGCTGACAGGATGGGGCGCATTGATTTTCCCGGTTTGTGGATTTTTGCGAGGCAATATAGTTTCGACACCGTTGGGTTGGAAACTTGTAACTTCCGTTTCAGTTGAGGGGTATGTTGTCGCATTTCTTGAGGACATCTTTTACTTCGGCAATCATCTTTGATAACGGGTTCCTGGTCAATTTCGCATACGGTCCGTTAGTAATGAGAGTATTGACCCTTTCGTAGTAGTCCGATTTATCCAGAATTACTACTTTGTTACCTTTGTTGGCTTTCAAATAAAAAATGTCCTTTTCTCTCGATCGTTTGATAAGTTTCTTTTGGTTTTTATTGTTGTTTATTGAATGCTTCCGTTTATCTGTTATCTGGTTCTTGGAGATTTGATTCCTGACCTTCTCTCGAACTAGTCCCTTCGACGAATCGGGCATATATTGAATCGAACTTACAACACTAGCAACGATATCCTCAAGAACTTTCTCGGAAAACGGGATGCCAAATTTCAAACCGTTTTTCAAAAGGTTGATCTCTTCCTTATCAAACGATTGTGATGACAATATTTTCGGTTTATGCTTAGATATGAGGGTTTTGAGTTTCTTATTGAGCGTACACATTTTTGTGATATATTTTGATTCAATCATCCGAAACATTCCTCTCTGAAAGTCATTCTATTGTACGTAATCATTTTCTTCTAATCTATATGTTAGTTTTTTATATAGACTATAACTATATAAGAGACTACGGTTAGTGTACAGATGATCGATTTCTAAATCAAGCTATTTTTCTTTGGCGAATTTTTTTACTTTTATCAGCAACTGAAGACTTAATAGGAATATTTACGGTAACAAAATTTGGGAAAATTGAATATCTTTTACAGCTCTTCAGCATCATAAGTCGGGAAATGCTATTTAGAAAAGTTGTTCAGCATTGAAAAATACATCTAGATTTGAAGTCATGGCCATCTAAGTGAAGTTTTATTTTTTTACCCATTTTTTAAAATGGGGACTACGAAAAACAACGTAACCCCTAAAATTTATTTCCAATGTAACTTTTTGTCTTATTATTTGTTTACCATTTAAAAATTTATTTCCGATAGCCTGTTTCATTCTAAACAAAAAATGTCTCTTGAGTTTTTTTCACAAAATAAACCAGTCCGCAGTAAAAAACTATTTTACGAACAACTACAGAGATACATCGTCATAAATGCGAACTGGATTTATTATTATTTTGTAGTTAGTACCTGCATCAAACTATTAAAGGGTAATGAACAAAACTGATTTATTAATAACAAAACACACAACATGTAGAAATCATAGTAAATTTTCAATATGTCTACTTTTAGACATTACACATGCGTCTAGACGACGGCGCATTGAGCCACGTATTCGCTCAAATATTCCTGGAATCTCTCTGATTACCCTGCACGCATCAATGATGCGGTTTCTCAAGTCCTCTACATCGCGAACAGGAGTTCGATAAACCAAATGCTGTAAGTGGCCCCAAATAGAGAAATCGAGAGGATTGAGATCCGGGGATCGAGCGGGCCAGATATGTGGTCCTCTTCCACCTATCCACTAATTTGCATATGTTTTAGTTAAATGCTGACGTGATACTTGACTAAAATGGGCAGCGGCCCCATTATGCATAAAAAACAGATCCCTTCTGACGCCCAAAGGAACTTCCTCGAGCAGTAGTGGATGCACTTCTCTTAAAAATTGAACGTATGCGTCACCATTTAATCGAGGAGGTAAAAAATGAGGCCCAATTAAATCATCCCCAATAACTCCGAGCCACACGTTAAGAGAAAACTGTTCTTGATGGTTAGTTTCGACAATAGGGTGAGGGTTTTCATCAGCCCATATGTGGTAATTACGAAAATTATTAATCTTGTCCCGAGAAAAACTACATTCGTCTGTGAATTCTATCGTCTTCAGAAAGTCACAATTTCTTCTAATCATTTCCAGCATCCAATTGCAAAATTCAAGACGGTTCAGAAAGTCTCGCGGTAACAGTGCCTGTACTCGTTGCAGATGGTAAGGGTATAATAGTTGTTCCTTTAAAATTCGAAATACCGTCATATGATCAACATTTAGCTGGTACTCGTAGTAGGTTGTTCTTCAATCAAATTAAGTATTGCTTTCTCAAACTGTGGTGTTCGTACTTCTCTATGGCGATCACAATCCTGCGTTCTTTTGTCGAATGAACCATATTCTCGTAACCGTTGATGAAATCGAGCAAATATGCTATGTGAAAGATGCTGTCGTTGAGGATACATTTCAGCATATGAAATCGAGCAAATATTCTATGTGAAAGATGCTGTCGTTGAGGATACATTTCAGCATATCTTCTAGAAGCTTCTATTTCAATTTCGAAAATTCACAAACTGACAGCGTCATACCAATTTAATTGTCACTATCACTAATAACGACCTACTAGATAGATTAGTTTCGTATTTTCGCATTTATGACGATGTGCCTCTGTAGTTGTTCCTAAAATAATGTTTTGCTGCGAACTGGTTTATTTTGGGCAAAAAACCCAAGATACATTTTTTGTTTAGAATGAAACAGGCTATCTGAAATGAATTTTTAAATGGTAAACAAATGATAAGACCAAAAGTTACATTGGAAATAAATTTTAGGGGTTGCGTTTTCCACCCCTTACAATCATGGGGTAAACCAAATAAATTTCTGGCTAAGTGTCTTTTTGTAGTACAAAACGTCAGGTTAATTTCAATATTGTAACTTTTTAGTGGTTGTGAAAAAAATCGTTATACAAATTTGATGTACCCCCTTTAAGGGGCTGTATCTCAACAAGGGATGCTCCAATGAAATTTCTTTATACGGAAGATCCTATCTTTTTTTCGATGAGGAATCTTCTCCTCAAATGTTTTACACTTATTTAGTTATACCCTGTATATTGCCCTGTGAATGGATTTTTCTGTCAAGCAATAATTATTCATTACATAACTTAGACTTATTCACACCTCGGAAAGTACATACAGGAATTTCGAAAGTAATAATAAAATGTAATAAACAATTATTGGGTACATTGAAACGTGTATAAAACAATGAAATATTACTTATATTACAACAAACATGACAAAATAAACAAATGAATATTACTGGAGTTTTTTCCCAACACCAAACCGTTATTTTAACAACTAGACACGTGTTTACCTAACGACACATTGTAAAATTAATTCAAGACTAGTAGATTAACAATTTATGTTCACAAAAATACTTCTATTCTTCTAATTCTTTGGGAAATGTTTCTCCCTGTTTGACCAATGTAAAGTTTTGGGCAAGAGCCCACAGTCAGGAATATATAAGCTGATCCCATAAATTTGTATTGAAATAGTAAAAATTTCTTGTGAGATAATTTTTCATTTGGTTTCAGTTCCATTGACTGTTCTGTTCCTTTTGTTGCAGAAGAAGAATGTTACCATTGCATGGCGAGCCTAGTAGCATCAAAAGAGAAAACTTTCATCACTCAAACAAAACTTTTATATGAAGTAACTTGGAAGACTGTTATGCAAATATGCAAGAAACATGTGGTGAGTACGCACAACTTAATATTCAAACTGTATTACAAAGTAATTCAAATGTGAAAGTTTGTAAGGATGGATGTATGTATGTTTGTGGATTTATCACGCCTAAACGACTGAACGGATTTAGATGAAACTTCACATAAATACAGCTTCTACATCAGAATAACATATAGGCTACACTTTACTAAGGCTTTGTGTAATCTTAGTCATAATATAACAATAAGTATTGAGTAATAGTCTGGTTCACATGTACTCGATTTAGCTCTTTTTGGAGACATTTTTCAGCCCCGTCCAACAATTGCGACCAAGGTGTCATTCGATTCGTATTTTTGCCTAGAAAGTTTAAGGAAAGGTCCGAAAACGCGCCGATAAAAATTACAAAAGTTATAAACAATTAAGTGAAAAATAATGGGGCTTTAGTTTTTTCTTAATATTTTGGAAGATTTTCAAAATTTTGGAAATTTGAAAAAAGATTTAACTACGAGCCACACGTTAAGAGAAAACTTTTCTTGATGGTTACTTTCGACAATAGTGTGAGGGTTTTCATCAGCCCATATGTGGTCATTATGAAAATTAAAAATTTTTTCCGAGAAAAACTACATTCGTCTGTGAATTCTATCGTCTTCAGAAAGTCACAATTTCTTCTAATTATTTCCAGCATCCAATTGCAAAATTCAAGACGGTTCGGAAAGTCTCGCGGTAACAGTGCCTGTACTCGTTGCAGATGGTAAGGGTATACGAGTTGTTCCTTTAAAATTCGAAAAACCATCATATAATCAACATTTAGCTGGAAAGCAATATTTCTAGTACTGGTAGTAGGTTGTTCCTCAATCAAATTAAGTACTGCTTCCTCAAGCTGTGGTGTTCGTACTTCTCGATGGCGACCACAATCCTGCGTTCTTTTGTCGAATGAACCATATTCTCGTAATCGTTGATAAAGTCAAGCAAATATTCTATGAGAAGGATGCTGCCGTTGAAGATACATTTCAGCATATCTTCTAGAAGCTGCTTACCCATTCCCCTGCAACAGACCATAAACGTAATGCATATCAGCCATTTCCTCATTTGTGTATGCCATTTTAATAACAAGTGAATTATTAAAGTAACAAATTAAGAACAGAACAACAACACACAATTAGTATTAATTCAATTTCGAAAATTCACAAACTGACAACGTCATACCAATTGAAGTCCACTAGATACTGGTTAGGACAACAAGAGTTATAAGAAAACAAGTACAGCTGAGGCACCAGTCAATCTAACAATAACACTGATGATCTTCAAACTAGACTTAACCTCTGACGGAAACACCAAACTCTTTCGAAGGTTCGAAATAGATGAACACTTCAATCTAGCAGACCACTATTATAATCTCCATGCAGTCATTGTTCATTGTGAATCTGGTCATTATTACGCATTGGTCAAAGACGAAACGGACTGGTTTAAGTTCGACGATAGTCGTGTTACGAAGTGTTCTGGCGATGCATTGAATTTATTGGAGCCTCTGGAGACAACCTACATTTTGTTTTATGAGGACATTGGCAGATCAAGATCTTCAGATGATATGGTGCTGCAGGTTTTTCCGGAGTTTCCTGCAGATGAAAAAGCAAATGCGCCACTGGAATCAATGAAGTCGCCCCAGAGAGCCAATTAATTTTTGTTGCTGTTTCATAATTTCATGATTTGTATTTTGGAAGTGTTGTTATTATACTTTTTCGTATTGAAGAATGAAAAAAAATCAGGAGAGATTGTTTTATAATCTCACAAATAAAGTTATCATTATGTTATGACCAAAATTACACAAAACCTTTGTAAATTATAGGTTGTATGTCATTCTGATGTATAAGCTGTATTTATGTAAAGTTTCATCTAAATCCGTTGGGCGTGAGTCTTGGGCGTGAGAGAGCCACAAACTTACATACATCCATTCTCCCAAACTTTCACATTTATAATGTTAGTGTAGAGCAGGGTCTCCAAACTTTGAAGCCTTCGGGCCATAATGATTTTTTCAGTTTGTTCCAAGGGCCAATTTCTGCCCTTCACTATATTTCTAGACTAGGATAGTCGCAAAGTGCGCGACCTAAGCAAACTTACGCTTTTTTTGCATTTCAAGTATTATTGTGTATTGTGACACTTAACGACATTTAGTGGCGAGTAGTGGTACTATTTAGTATGGTCTAATGCCACCTAGCTACCCGCTAGGTGGCATAAGGCGTAATTAAATATTTGGAATTACCGCGTTGGTTCGAGAAAGTTCTAGTTCTAGCTAGTGTATTCCGATCACCTCGAGATGGCAGCAATAATTGCATATAAAAAGGCTAGCGGCGCAACTGCGAGTTAGTCTGCGTAGGAAAGGCGAAGGAAGCGAAACTGTCTATTGTGAAATAAAGTAACACCCGTCAATAAAAGTATTATATGTGATTTGTTAGTATGGAAAAGAAGCGAAAAATCGACAGTGAATGCAGAACGTTCCAAGAGAAATGGAACTAGTATTTTGTGATTGGGTCCAGTAATAAGGCGCTATGTTTAATTTGTAATGAAACCATAGCTGTTCTCAAAGACTACAACATTAAACGACACTATGAATCGAAACATCTTCAAAGTTACTCCAAGTATACAGGAAGTTTGCGGAAGGAAAAATTTGAAGCTTTGAAACGTGGACCAAATCGCAGCAATCTTTGTTTACCAAAGCAAATACTGAACAAGAGTCTGCAACTCGCGCCAGCTTTTGTGTGGCTCTTGAAATCGGAAAACGTGGCAAACCATTCACCGGTGGAGAAATGATAAAAGAATGCTTGATTGCAGTAGCCGAAGAAATATGCCCCGAAAAGGTAAATTTATTTTTAAAAGTGTCAGTTTGTCAGCAAACACCGTGGCTCGGAGGGTGCAAGACATCGCAGAAAATATATCATCTCAACTGTCTGACAAAAATGGACATCATGAGTGGTTTTCTCTAGCATTGGATGAGTCAACGGATGTGTCAGATACTGCTCAGGTGTTGATTTTTATTCGCGGAGTAGATAAAAACTATGAAGTGTATGAAGAACTTCTTGATATTGATAGTATTCACGGCATGACCACTGGGGCAGATATTTTTGAGGGAGTTGAAAATGCCATTAATAAAAAGAACCTTCGATGGAGAAATTTGAAATCTATAACAACTGATGGAGGCAAAAATAAGTATGGTAAAAATAAAGGAGTGGTTGCACTTGTGTTAAAGGCTGTAGAAAATGATGGTGGTTCAAAACCATTAGTCTTACATTGTATCATTCATCAACAGTTCTTGTGCGGAAAATGTTTGGATATGTCTGAAGTTCTAAAACCAGTCATATCAGTTGTTAACTTCATCAGATCCACTGGGCTGAATCACCGATAATTCCGCGAGTTTATTCAACAGATTGGAGAAAATTGGAGAAAATTATTTATTTAAAACATGATTTTGAAATCATTTGTTAAAAACTTTAAAAATCATGCGCAATTGATTTCCTTATTTTTTTTTCAAATTAGATGGTAATAAATACCCATGATTTTTATGAACGTAGAAACACCTACCTATATCACAGAAAAATTTTATTGGGGAGAAAGCATATGCAGTAACTTTCCATGTCATTATTTCATATCTAATGGCAGCTATTGTTATCGCAATACATCACTTTGTTCGTATTGAAGAAATGATTAGAGGTTGAGAAAGATAGATAATATACATATAATGAAACTTGTTTATTCACGTATTCTAAAAACACTTTATTGTGTGATTTTCACTAGACAGTTTTACAAAAACGCAATACGTGTTTCGCCATACAATGGCTTCCTCTGGCGTGTCTTGATAACTAATTCTACACATTAAATGCTATTAATACCTTATTCTACAATTTGAAGTACCTGATTTTTTACCTAAGTTTGTAATGAATTCAATTATCTGAGCTTATGTTCCATTTTCCACATTTGAAAAAATATTCAGTAACGGAGAGTGATTTAATTCTAATTGATCATTCAGTAAATTACCCGAATTCCTGCATCTATTGATTTCTAAACATTCTAGAAAATTGAGTTTCAAACTCTTCTCTTCTAAATGTAACACATCGTATTCATGATTGAACTCATGTCTTTCTGCTAAAAGGTGGTTTGCAAAACTACTTCTATGCTCTTTAATTCTTTGGGAAAATGTTCTTCTTGTTTGGCCAATATGCAGATTTGGACAAGAGCCACAAGTCAGCTTATATACTCCTGATCTATCCAACAACGAAGTTTTGTCTTTATTGTTTTCAATAAATTTACTTAGATTATTATTCGTTCTTTAAGCTACGTTTACGCATTATTTCTTCAAGAAACGGGCAATATTTCTGGTTGGTTCACCCAAATATGCCAATGTTCTATAACTGACGTTATCGCATCTTGAATATGGGTAGACCAAGTCCATGGCTTGCTTTTGAAATTTTTTGGAAAGAATGGCGTTTATAATATCTATAGTCCAGTCATTATAGTAAGTTCACCTCGGAATTCGGGATACCCAGCTGTAAGTCTGTAAATACTTGTATATTGGCACCCTAAAAGTTGTCTCAAAACCTACATATGGTAGGGTGTAAGCAACTATTAAATTTCAAGGTCAAAGGTCACAAAAATCGGTTTTTTGCGCTATTTTTGTAAATATCTCATTTCCTATGGGTTTTTTGCTATTTGTATTTATTATCAATATTGTAGAATATAAAATTCTCTACAAATTCTGTTGAAAAAGTTTTTTCATACGGTGAACCGTTTTCGAGATTGAGGGCGGAGAGCGCGCGGTCACAAGATCACTTCAGGTCAACCGGTGCCTCCGTTTGAAAACGCGCCATATATAGTTGATGAACTATCTAGATTTTTCACAGATTTCGGATCATTACCTATAGACTGTCAAGAAGGTTTGAGTTCCACTCTCTAATAATCTCTGGGCCGAACAGTTTTCTTTCTCAAATGCTGCAGCTAGTTCATCCAAATTTGTCAGTTTCTCAAAAACTTTCCCTTTT